GCCCCTCGGCGGCCTCCCCCACCTCGGCGGCCTCCTCGCCACACTCGGCGGCCGCCGCACCCACTGCGGAGCCGGGCGACCCGGCCTCGGGCAGCAGCAACAAGAGGAAGCGCGACAACAAGGCCAGCACGTACGGACTCAACTACAGCCTGCTGCAGCCCATCGGGGGGCGGGCCGCTGGGGGCGGCCGGGCCGACAGCGGCGGGGGCGTGTACAGCGGGACCCCGTGGAAGCGGCGGAACTACAACCAGGGCGTAGTGGGGTGAGTGGGGGCCTTGCGGCCTGCTCCATGCACACGCGCCGCGGGCTGCACGCCGGCAGGGCGGTCGCCGGTAGGCAGGGGGATCCCCGGTAGGCAGGGGTGTCGGGGAGGAGACACTCCCCTCCCCACATCACCGTCTCTGTCTGCCTTCATTTCCATTGCACCGATGCCCTTCTTTTCACCTCCTGGTCACCCACTCCTCCCTCGCCATGCACACCTTTTGCTGCTTTCCCCCTCCGAACATCCCCATCAGCTCTCATCCACACCTCCCTTCGTCATCCACACCTTCGCCAGACCCTCCCTGTCCATTCACACTTTTCCTCCCTGTCAAATAAGACTTTTCCCAGTCCACCCTCAGGCCGGCCAGCCAGCCAGCCACACCAGCCTCCTCCACATCACTCCCCGGAATGGGATTGCACATCGTAGGCACATCATTCATTCTCGGTGTCTTTGGATGGTACAAGACTTGAAAGTGCTTCCCTTGCCAAGAATAGAAACATCCAGAATGTACCTCCCCCCCCTTCCCCCCACCCCCACCCCGAGTACACTTCTCTATGCAACCTTAATTCTGGATTCCTGTGCTAACCACCCCTCCCCCCCCCCCTCCCTTCCCCAGTGCCAAGCAGGAATCATGTCTGTCCTCTGAGGCATTGCCTGTTCTTGGCCCTTGGGCCTATTTTCTCCTTGGTCTCCTCCAGTTTTCTGTGTTAGAAATGCGCTGTGGAAAAGGAAGAATGAGATGACAGCTGAGTTCAGGCCGGTGGAGGTGGGGAGCTGTGCTTCTGAGGCCCTGATAGAACTTTCCAGGAGTTCATGGTCCACGGGCCCCAGCTGCTCACTGTCAAGTCATCTTGGCAGAGGCAGCCAGTGCTTTTCGGTCTAGGGGTAACTATGCTAATAAGTGAACGTTGCACCATGAATGACTTTCTGTTTAAAGTTCAGCTCTTACAAAATGGAATCTTACCTGACCTCTAGTGAATTATGTACATAAAGCAGGGAAAGGTTTCCAGCTAGATTTCCATTCTGGTGGAGGCTCCATGTTGTGAATAATTTTCTTTTGTAAAACAAGGCTTTTTGATTGTATCCTTTGTGTGTACATGTGCCGTGAGTGTGGAGAATGAGACTTTCAAATTAGCTTTTCATTTTTTTTTTTGCTAGTAATCGGGTGTAAAAGCCTTTTCTTAGATCCACCCATTTAGAGCTGCCCTTTTTGAAGATTTGAGTAAAATGAGTTGGTAGGTTTCACTCCTCATGGGCTCATGTGTGCTCCAGTTGATTACAGTTTCCACCTTTTATGGAAAGAAAGTGCAGCTGACTGGTGCTCCGGTACATGTCAAATTTACCTTCACTTTCTAAAGAGGAATCCTGTGAAGTTGGATTTTCTTGCTGCTAAACTTTAGCATGCTCCGTGGTTACCAAAGCTTAATAAAATGCTTGTGGTTCTAGCTTGTAAGCATTTCCAGGTCAAGCTCAGTGACAAGCGAATTGGTATCAGGGGTTCTGGTGTAGTTTCGTTTCACGGGGACAAGTTCTGGTTAAGTAATCACTGAGTTAAGTAATCGCTGTCAGCTAAAATCTAGAAGTTCCTTAATTGCATTTACTGAAATCTCTGCTTATGAGTTTTTTTTTTAAAAAAAAACAAATACATGGTCTGCATCCCAAATGTCAGCTGCCACTTTTTTTGGAAGGTTAGAAATTATTCTCTCTTCCACTTGCTATTTAATGTATCGGGCACTGTAAGAATGGAAGTACTTGTTCCTGTTTCCTATAGTGCTCTCAAAGGAATTTAGGATTAATTTCCATATCCCAGAGGGATTCCCGTTTAAAAAACTGTGAACCTGTTTTGAAACAGGTGCTTATCACACCATCTGACTTTCCCTTCTATTACCTCCTCCTCTAGGTGATCCCAACAGTTATGCCAAAATCTCAGGCCTAAGGATCTTTCTTCCACTTTAGAAAAATATATTAAATTCTTAAGGTTTTACAAAATGTAAGTGATGCCTCAGATTTCTTATTTTGATGTTTGGATCCTGATTTCTTAACATTTCAAGAAGTTTTGCCATTTTTTAAAATTTTTTAAAAATTTTTTTTAAGTTTTGCCATTTTTAATACAGATAATTAAAACTTTGAATTTAAAATACATCATTGTTACATTATTATGATTAGGTGTAGAAAAGATAACACAAATCTTTTCTGTACTCTTAGCTGATAGGTTAACAAATTATAATGGTCTCTGGCTTCTGAATGGACAGGCTAGAGCCAGACTAGACAAAAGTACATGAAAAGTGAAGGAGAACTGACTTTAGCATATACACTTACTCTGTAGTATGTCTCTTATTTCGTCTTTTTCTTTTGTCAACCAAATGGGCTTTCAACTTACTTTCTCAGCACTGAACACTCATTTAAGATTCACTCAAGAATCCTGAATTTTCCCGTTGCCCGAGTTCTTGATTTTTTTTTTTTACTTCTCTGAACTCTTGCATATGTGCTTAACTAGTTTATACTTAATTTTCCTTTTACTATATGTGCTTCCTCTTACCTATTAAATGGATATTGTTGTTGATTGCCATCAAGTTGAGCACAACCAATAAGCGACCTTATGATGAAAAGTCCTGAACCCTATTCAGTAACTGTCGTCGTTTCTCCAAGTTCATAGAGTTTCCAGAGGCGTGTGTTTTAAGAAGTGGATGCCACTTCTGCTTCCTAACCTGAATCAGTCTGGGAGCTCTCCACCACCACCAAACACTGTCCATGATGGATAACCATTATGGTGTTTGACACAGCAGTGGCAGAACGTTCAGCATCACAGCAACCCCAAGTTACTTCAGTATAGCAAATTGACATACCAGTACTTTACCGCTGTGTTCATCTCACGCACAGTTAAGACCAGAACAAAACAACCTAACAGCCCACACCCAGCCTTTACCAAGACAAGAGAAACCATTTTCCAGAATCCAATTGTATGGCACATGAGCCTCTAAACTGGAAATTTTGTCGGGTACAACTGTCTTTTACCACCAGTTACTGACAAATATTTTAAAATAATCTTTAATCTTGCTCTCTAGTTTTCAAAGTATGCAGTTTCTTATAGTGAAGTTCAAACCAAATTTGTTGAGTTGATTTTTGACTCACAGTGACCTTATAGTAGGAAATTATTAACACCTTTTTGTAATTCACAAATTTGTTATCTTCCCCGGAAAGCCAATAATCTCCTGATTTGTAAAAATGATTTAATGATACTCTAAGCAAAAGGTTTACACAGTACATCACAAGACATTTAATAGTAGGTAATATAAGATTATTGTTAGTAATTAAAACTACATTACCCTTGTCAAAATAGATAGTTCTTTACTATAAAGAGAGACATTTTGGTTTCACCTTAAAGTCATCATGGTTCTCTTTCAAAATATCTTCCCCTTGCCTCACCATCTCAGCCTATTTCCTCCTGGACCCACAGACCCAGGGGGTTGTTTGTTTCTCTTTCTTCTTTTTCCGTTTGCTTCCACTTGATATTTGTTCCCCTCTAAGACTTGTGTAGATTGCAGTCTTTCCAACTCTTGAAGTGGAACTGGAATCCTTAAGGATTTAATGATTACCCTGGAGAAAGAGAGGATGACATAAAGTAGCAAGCATAGGGAGCCTTGGTCTTGAGCTCTGATGTCCAGACACTTGGAAGGTGCTTGTATAATAAGCTCACGAAGATAGGTTTTTGTTGTCCCACTTCCAGGTCTGTGTTTTTCCAGGATGTTGGATGACTTGTCCAAAATGTTTCAGACTGTGACTTTGGCTGTGGAATGTCAAGAAATCCTTGTTGGGGAAAATCAGGTTTAAGGAATAAGGTAGAGTGAATAATAGGAGGCTAAAGAACATTTTTTAATTTTTTTTATTAGATTTAGTGATCATACTATAGCTTTGAACTTGAGCAAGTAGGGAAGTGTTGACATTACCATTTAAAACAAAAGCTAGAGAGACAGCTCTTTGGGCAAAGGATAACAAGGTAAAGTTTAAATTGAACTGTCAACAGTTCGAATCCACCAGATGCTCTGCTGGAGAAGGAGGGGCAATCTCCTCCAGTACCAGTCAGATCTGATTTGGCAGTACACACACAAATAATAAAATTTAAAAAAAAAATTGAACTGTCAAGAAGGGAGTTGAAGTCTGGGAGCTGAGGTAGTCTCACTTTTGCAGAACCTGGTGTCCTTCCCTGTGCCCCGTCCTAACACTGCACACTGCACTTGAGGGCCTCGTAAACCAAGAGCAGCGTGTTAGTTTTGATACTTCTCACTCTCGCCACTGTTGAGTTGGAACCAACTCTTAGCTGACCCTCCAGTGGGTTTTCCGAGGTAGTAAATTGCACAGGAGGAGATTCCATGTATTTCTCCCTCAGGGCAGCTGGTGGACTTGAACTGAGCCTTTGGTTTGTTAGTGCAACCCAGCTCTGGCATTAGAAGTTATTTCTACTGGCATTCCAGCTGTGCTGCAAAGCAGTTGAACAGATTAACATAGGCTATGTATGAAAGAAGCTAGGGGCTTCATTCTAAGTACTTGCCCCTAAGTTTAATTTTTTGTGCTTTTGCCAGTGTTGTGTTGTTGTGTATCATTGTGTTGGAACCGACCCGTAGCTGAACCTCCAGTGGGTTTTCAGAGGCAGTAAAGCACTCGGGAGATTGCCCATCCTTCTCTGGTGAAGCAGTTGGTGGCCTCAAACTGTGGGCCTTCAGGATTACAGTGCAGCTTCTTGCCACTGGCCACCAGAGCTCCCACCATATAATTCTTTTGTAAACTGTGACCCTTTTGTTGTTGTTGTTGTTATTGTTGTTGTGTGCCACCAGCTGACCACGGTTTGAAGCGATCCTATCCTGCAACATCCTCACAATCTCAAATATGTTACAGCTAATTGCTCTAGTTACTGAAATTTAAGGTTACTGAAAATGGTGCATTTGAGTACTGAAATGTTTGTTTCTGATCTGTCCATTAAAGCGTTGGATTACTACAGTGTA